AATACTGATTACACTTGTACATGGTTTTGAACCGAACTTACAAATAATAAAACTATTGAAAAAAGTGAAAACCCATTTTAAATTACCACCAGCCGCCACTGATCGAGGATCGGAATGGATTTTTAATGGATCAATAGCGTTAATGAGTCTATAAATATTTAACGATCGTTCTTGCAACCGGCTGTATGTAATGGATACAATTATATTATTATTATTATTATTATTATTATTATTATTATTATTATTATTATTATTATTATTATTATTATTATTATTATTATTATTATCAAAGTCAAAATATGTCACGTGCAGTAATATCTCAATTTGTGATAAAATCTCACAAAGCAGCTTTTGACTTGAGAGCGACAGAAAGGTATGGACATAATGAAGTCAATCTTCAACATTTGGTGGATAAGTCAAAATATGCCACGTGCAGTAATATCTCAATTTGTGATAAAATCCCACATAGCAGCTTTTGACTTGAGAACGACAGAAAGGTATGGACATAATGGAAGTCAATCTTCAACATTTGGTGGATAATCTACATGGGATTGGTAAGATCTGATCTAGATTATGGATCTATGCTAATATACAATATCATCCAGACATAATTTGTTTAAATTGGATAAAACACAATATAAAGCCATAAGACTCATATTGGGAGCAATTAAGAGTCCAGTTATTAGCCGAGGCAGGGGAACTACCTGAGAAATATTCTAAAACACGTCAATTAAAAATAGCCCCATCATATCCCCGTCCTTAAACTATATGAAAACCAAGATCTTGTTCAAAAAAGCACCAATTTTCCTATTATGGAGGCTCTAGACAGAGCTCTGGCGTTTGATTTGTATCTTAAAATATCTAACCTTCTACCATGTTTCCCTCACAACTGTGAATCACAAATAATAGACATACCTAGTGTCGTAAATATCCGTGTCTTTTTAGTATTCGAAACCAAGAGGTATACGCATGCATATTCCATATGTGTGAAATCATTATAATACGCAACGTAAATACACTGCGGCATTTGGAATCGGAACCTAGCAGAATTTATGTTTGAGAGTGAAGTATTTTAGCAGAAACTTTTAATATTTTAAAATAATATGAGAAACTACATTTCTCATTCATTGAATATTATTCATATTTATACAACTTTATCTTACCATTAAAATATGCTTAGTGCATGCCGATTGACCGACGCTAGTTACGCCGACTTCGCGTAGGTTGCCACTGCCACCCGCAATTGGCTCTGTCATGAACACAACATAAAGCATTCGATTCGTGTATTCGGTTTCGGATTTTATTTCTTCGTTTTTGATTCCGAATCCGTATTAGAATTTACACTTTGATTCCGGAATATACGGATTCAACGGATTTTTGGATACGTATTCTTACATCACTAGACATACCCTTATGTTATGTTGAGAATGGGGTGTTAATACACTACGACCTAAAATATCTATTGTGCCCCTTCTGTCGCCACTGCACTAAGGAAATGTCTCAATGCCTATAGCGACCCTTCCAATCCTATTTTCTCAAAGAAGTGTAGGATTTGAAGTGGCTTCAAGTTAGGTAAGTCTCCCTCTTCTATTTGATATCCTCCTAGATATAGTGCCCTTGGATTCTGGAGTGCTACACATTCAGTTAGGATGTGTATGGAGGTTTCGTCCTCCTCCTCACAGAATCTGCACTCACTATCCTCTACTACTCTGTTTACGTAGGTGTCCTTTTAGTCGGCAATGCCCGGTAAGGATCCCTGTTACAATACGTAGCCTGTTCTTGCTCAGGCAGATGCAGGCTTCCGATCTTTTTTGGTTATATTCACCCAGAAGTATCTTGGCCTGTCTCAGTCCCAAGAGATTGTTCCAATTATCGGTTCTTTTACTACCCAATTCTTTTTTAATCTCTCCTAATATTATGTTACTGCTGATACCGCAGAACGGCTCAGGTCCTACAAAGGGTGTTTGAGCCCCTTTCCTTGCAAGACTATCTGCAATCTCGTTACCCTGTACCCCGTTATGTCCCGGGACCCAAGTGAGAGTAACTCTATTTTTCTCGCCTAGCTCATTCAATTGTTCTAGGCATCTCCAGACCATTTTTGAGCTGATTACGTAAGAACTCAGCGCTTTGATGGCTGCTTGACTATCGGACATGATGATAATCTCTTGTCTATGATAGTTTCTCTCGATGTTAAACTGGATACACTTCTCGATGGCGTGAATTTCCGCCTGGAAGATGCTTGGGTATTTTCCCAAGCTTTCGGAGTGCTTGGTTCCCGGCCCATACACTCCTATTCCAGTTCCTTCTATGGTTTTGGAACCGTCCGTATACCACTGAATAGCACGTCTTTCGGTTGCAAGCGCGATGGATTCTTGGCTCCATTCTTTCTTGCAGCCCAGCTCTGTGGTTTTGAAGTTTTTCACAAAACTGTACTTCTTTTGCATTTCATCCTGGGGCATGTCCCAGGTATCTTTAGTCCTGAAGCAAGTAGACTTTCGTCTGATTAATCTGTTCCTGATCATTCTATATCGTGTCCTTTTTGCCACATTCTCTATCATCAAATGTAGAGGGGTGAGGTTTAAGATCACCTCCATTGCGGCCGTAGGACAGGTTCTCATTGCACCAGTAATGCAAACATAGGCTAGTCTTCGTACTTTTGAGATATTAGTGTTTACGGTCCACCTTAACCGATTTCTGCTGCATATGTGCTTGGCCACTACAGCGACCTCTCTTGGGGGGTCTGCTTACCTTAGTTGTGTCCCTTATTAGAAAAGGTGTGCTTCCAGGAAAGTGAGTTTCGAGTAAGAGGCAAGCTCTTTCCTCCTCACTCTCCGTGAAGCTTCCATTTGGTTTCTTTAATGCCATAACTGTATCAACTCTCCCTTTTGCCAGGACCCTGTGCAGTCTCGCTGCCGCAGGCGTAGAGTTAATATCCTCGCATAATTTTCTAAAGCTGTTACGTTTAGCTTTCCTGATTTCTTTGTTGTAGGTAGTAAGCGCCTCGGTGTAGCTCTGCCAATCTCCGCTGTGCTTGGCCCTATTATAGAGCTTCCGCACTTCGGATCGTAAGTTTGACAGATGGCGGTTCCACCAAGGAGCATCCCTACTAGTTCTATTTCTTTGAATGGGGCAGCTTGATTCATATGCCTCAAGTATTGCCCCATTTAGTTCTTCGAGATCGCTTTCCAGAGCAAGTGGGTGCCCCGGCCCCTTTTTTGTCTGGATACGTGCTAAATTTTGTTTTAGAATGGTGTATTTGTCCCAGTCTATTTTTCTAGGATTCCTCCTGAGGATCGTCTCAGGAATGTCGCTCTCTAACGTAAACACAATTATCTTGTGATCAGATAGAAATGGTTCACTCGATACCCTCCAGTTTTTAACTAGATCTTTAATGCTCGATGTGCTTAATAGACATACCCTTAAACACATTAGGTTTAAATAAAAAGTTCGTCAACAATCAGCCACAATTTGAACAAATTATCTTAGAAAAATGGCCCAATGTCCAAATATGTTTTCCTGGTGGTTCTAAAAATGAATATAATAAGACAGAATTTGGCATATTTAGTAAATGTGGGAATTCTGTATTTAGAGTCTCCGCCAGAATTGCAAACATATCAAACATTTGTACTGCTGAGATGCTTGGCATAAAGGTTTCCAATAAAAGAATTTTAGAAGAAAATATCCCAAACATTTTGTGCCAAAATCCATCAATTTATTATATTCATTGGGTGCTTTACAGAAAATAGTGCAAAGAGGAATAAGAGCCTCCTCAGATGATGTATAGTTGAGCATAAAAGAGACCATACAAGACGAGGAAACGAGGCATCTTATTGAATTGGGTGGATCCCAAGCCATGCAGGAATGTAGGGAAACGAGTGTGCAGATGCTTTGGTTAATGACGAAATGAACAAACAGTCATTCAATTTTAAGCAGATGGAATACAGATATTTATTTGGAAGAATAGAGAGAAAAGTGTAAATTTAAAGAGAAACACATTTTCAAAATAATAGATGATATTTACCAATCAATATATTTCACAACATATCTTAAATATTAAAGAACGACACGAATATCATTGTGTAGAGCAGCTCATGTGGTGAAACGAATATCACCTTTTATTTGTATTAGAATGCATGGCTGTTCAAAAAATGTCCAGGGAGTGAGGGGGAGCAAGACCTAACATCTCGGGCTATAGTCAAAAGCCATGGCAAAACAATCCAAATCCAGGGGGAGCAGACACCCACCTTACTTTAATCTGGCGGCACCCATTCTAGTATGTGTATAAATATCAAAATCACAGCTGTAAGGGTGGTATAAAGATTTCTTAATAGCTTTGGTCTAGAAATTACAAACTGTATAGTACATAAAAACAAGTTGTCTCAAAGTTTCTGGCCTCTTGAAGTAAACGTTCTTTTAGTAACATATGCAGCTACTATCGCCCTTAAAATGTATCTCATAAAAATCGTCGCACTGTCTTAGGTAAAAACCACAATAATAATTGATCAATTCTTTTTCCGAGCTCATTTTTTGAATAAAAAATTTAAAATCTACAAAGTATGTAAAGTTTTTTTCGGCTGTTTGATTTATTTTTTCAATATTTCAAAAAATAATTAAGATATACTCAACAAAACATTCGGAATATTTTACTGAACCTTTTTTCAGAAAGGAGAATAATTTGACAACTGTAGTATTTTTTTTATCAGCAATCTATTTTGGTATTATTTTATTTACATCTACAGTGGATGGAACTTTTAAGGCAGTACTGTACTTTAGTGTATTTATTGTGAGGTGTATATGTATTTGTAATGTAACTTACATTCAGAAAAATAAATGAATCTTCCCTAAATTTTATTTACAATACTTAAGAGTACTAGATATTAAATAAATGTTAATTTAATCTCTTTGTAAAAAATTGATGATTTTTCTATTTTTCTTTAAATGTGTATGTATTTTATGTGACAGTAAAGTATAAAATTCATGCTACAAAACAACTTACTCACCTTTGGAATGTTTGACGTTTTACATAGTTATCCCTAACGAATTCAATTATTTGTTTTTGAGTTTTACCGCTATACCTGAAAAAATAGAAGTATATATTTCCTTTGCCTCAGTAAGAATACTCGTTTTGTAAAGTGCATTTTTAGCCGCTTAAATTACTAGAGTAAATTTGACTCACCTTGTTTAAATATACGAAAAAAAAAAGGTAAAACGTTATTTATTGTTGATATAAGCTTTTAAAGCCATTATTTTTGTCGTAAAATAGCTGTATTTAATTTTAACCTGCAGATATCGTTCTTATCATTTAATTCATCTCGTCAATAGACTGGAGTATAGTATTTTGTTTTTATTATCTGAGTTATACATTTTATTGTTGTAGTTTTTGAGCCAAATGGCTTGTTACAATTATACAAATTCACCTAAAGGGGCAATTGGCCACTATATAGAGACCCAGTTGACGCCCTAAATTTGTCTATTTCCTGAATTTTTAAAACTATCCATCCCCTAGCTGCCGTCTGAGCGACGTCAAAGGCCCGAAGGTTGACACCGGAACAACCGAAACTTGTATAACTGTAGTAGACAAAATTTTATTGGTACACTGCTTATGGAAGTGGCGACCTGTTAAATGTCAAATTTTTGATATGTTTCAGTTCTCGACCTCTTAAGCAATAGTGTCCATGGGACCATTTAAATCCTATGACTGATTTTTGAGATACAGGGTGTTAAACTTAAGAAATACCACTTATTTGATAATGTTTATTTCAGGAGAAAGCTAATCGATTATCATTTTTTGTTCAAAATCTTATTGTAACAACTTTTGACATTCTACGAATATAAAAAGGAGTCAAAAATTATTTTCCTATACAGGGTGGGCCACAAATAAGTACGGAAATGTTTTTGATAAATAGTTTTATTGTCCTAGAAGATGGAAATATTTACTAAAAAATAAATTATTGCTGGGTCCCATTTATACAGGGCGATTCGTAAATATCGACATGGGCCAATATTTTTTTGTAAGTATTAATGTGAAACGCAGTATTTTTACGGGACTTTTGTGTATTTACCAAATGTACAATTATCCAATTCATTGACTACAGGGTGATTTAATAAATATATTGATAGTTAATTTATCGAATTTGCCAAAAAATCAATTTTTTTAAGCACCCTATACTTTTTGATTAGTCCTGTAAAAGTACACATATTTTTTCACTGGCGTATCATCCAACCTGTAAAAGATATTTTCCAAAATTATAGCTTTTTTCCGATTGGTTTTTAAGATACAGGGTGTTAAACTTAGAAAATTACCCTTTTTTTATTACCAGTTATTAAAGGAAAAAGTTAATCAATTATAATTTTGTGTCTACTATTGTTTTAAGATCCTTGACACTCCACGATTATACACAGAAGTCCCAAAATATTTGTTTCTACAGGGTGAATCGTAAATAAGTAAGGACAAGTTTTTTGATAATTACTTTCATGGTTTTAGAAGTTGAAAATATGTACAAAAAATTAATTATTGCTATATTTATCATTGTTAATGATAATACAAAAGATTTTAGGTGCCATTTATACAGAGTGATTCGATTTTTTTTTTAGTTGACTTTTGTGTTTTTTTACTTTCTTATCTGTATACAGATGTGTGAGTGTGTGTGTCTGTATCCACCATAACTCATGAACCGATACACAGAAAAACACCAAATTTTAAACTTAAACTTTATTCCAGCGTCCAATGAACTGATTAGATTTTGGGCAGAGTCGGAACATCTGGGGGGTACTTTATAGGTGGTCATTTTTATATTTTATGAAATATGTTATTTACGTTTAGAGAAGAAAATTCTTCAAATAAAAGTTACTTCTAATATTATTATCTATAATTTTTGTTCTATACAAAATTTTCCTAAAATGGTCCGTATTCGACAGATTTGACAAAATGAAAAAAAAATTTTTTTATAAAAAATGTTTAAATAAAAGTTGTTTGTAATATAATTCTCTATAATTTTTATCCTATACATAATTTCTCTAAAATGGACCGTATTCGAGATATTTGAGAAAATGTGTAAATTTCGAATTTTGAAGAAAACTCAAAAACGGATAAAGAAAAATTCATTAAATTTAAAACTTAGGTTTTATTTCGGCCTGACGTGAAATGATTAGATTTTGGACAAAGTCGGAACATCTGGGGGGTACTTTATGGGAGGCCTTTTTTATATATTATGGAATATGTTATTTATGTTTGAAGAAGAAAATTGTTCACATAAAAGTTACTTCTTATATTATTATCTATAATTTTTGCCTTATGTCAAAATTTCCTGAAATGGTCCGTATTCGAGAAATTTGAGAAAATGTGCAAATTCTGATTTTTATGAAAATTGTTGAACTAAAAGTTGTTTGCGATATCGATCTCTATAATTTTTGTTTATACATGATTTTTCTAAAATGGACCGTAATGGAAAAATTGTAGGAAAAGTGCTAAATTTAAATTTTTCAGTATTTTCGTTTTCAATGAATATCTATAGAAAAATGTTTCGAGGTAGATGTATGTAGAAAATGTATATATTTAGTTTATCCTCTAAACATTTATAGAGGTGCTGCAATAGGTTGTACAAAATAACCGGAAAAAGCCTATAATAACAAGATAGGAAAGTCATGTGTTGGACACATCAGATTTTTTATAATATTAACATATGTAGAACTATTAAATTTATTGATTACATGGTAATTTAATAGATAGATTAATAGTTAATTTATCGTTTGTCAATAAAATTTGATAAATCACCCTGTACTTTTAGTCCTATAAAGGTGTTTCTTTACTGGTGTATCAATCATTTTATAGAAAAAAAATTCTCAAAAATTACAGCTTTTTAATATGATAGGTTTTTGAGATACAGGATTTGACTTAAGAAATACCCTCTCTTTTTGTTACCTGTTATTCCAAGAAAAAGCTAATCAATTGCATTTTTTTGTGGCTAATTTTATTGTAACATCTTTTGGCATTCGACGAATAGGGGTAAAAAATATGTTCATCTATAGAATAAGTAGCAAATAAAAAAAGATATATGGTTTAATTTCTTTCATTAAATTAATTATTGGTAGATTTATCGTTTTTAATGTCATAACAAGGTTGACTAGTAAAGATCAACGTAGACCAATATATTTTAATCACTGATCTGTAATAGTGATTTTAATGTAATACTCAATATTTTTAAGTGACTGGTATACAGGGTGTACCAATAAAAACTCCCAGGCCAGATATTTTGTTAAGTAATAGAGATATTATAATTCAGTGAAAGCCAGTTCATAGAGCGCTAAGAGAGCTTCAGCACTTAAAAATTGTTGTTCGATGGGAGGATCTTTCTTATATAGCGCATCTTGTAAAAAATGCATTTTTGAACAGATTTTGTTCTATAAACTAATTCGATAAATCTGGCCATTTTTGATATACAGAGTGGGTCACTCGAAACAGTTTCATTCTATTTTTCGATATTAATCATTAGATTTTAAGAAAATGCTAAAACAGATCTATTTTTATTCCAAATTGAACACATTTTCACAATGCAGACATCTGTCATGTGTCAGCCCCCTCCCTTCCACTTCTCCAGCCCCTTAATTTTAAATAAGAAATGAACCATGTATGTCATAAATATGATTGTTTATTGCGATACTTTTAAGTTTAGCGCCCTCTATCGGGATAAAAAAACCTGTAACGTATTATAAAGTGTGACACTTCATTTAAAAGTTAATTTAATTACTTTTTCAATGTACCACATATCATTAATATAAATATTTCCATACTGCACTTGCAACAAAATAAAGTTAGCAATAATAATGTTTAAAATAATACATGACTAATTTACAAACTATTGCAAGTGCAATATGGAGGATATTTATATTAATATTATGTAGTGCATTGAATTAGCAATTAAATTTGCTTTCAAATAAGGTGTCATACTTAATAATACGTAGTTTTTTATACCGATTGAGGGCGGTACAATTAAAAGTATCCTAATGAACAATCATATTTACAAATTGCTCATAAAATTACCTTTTTAATGTAGTGTCACATTGTAGTGTCACTCTATAATACGTAATATTATTTTTCCGCTAGAGGGCTATAAAATTAAAGTAACGCAGTATACAAAAATATTTCTGAATTCCCCATTAAATTACCTTTTCAATGATGTGCCATACATGGTACATTACCTATTGAAAATTAAAGTGTTGGTGAAGTGCAAGGGAGGGGGTTGACACATGACAAATGTATGTACTGTAAAAATGTTTTTAATTTGGAATAAAAATCGACCTGTTTTAGCATTTTCTTAAACTCCAATGATTAATGCTGAAAAACAGAGGATGAAACTGTTTTGAGTGACTCAATTTGTATATCAAAAATTGCTAGATTTATCGAATTAGTCCATGGAACAAAATCTGCTTAAAAATGCATTTTTTACAAGATGCGCTACATAAAAAATATCCTTCCATCGAAAAAAATTATTGAGCGCAGCGCCATCTATATATTGACCTATTTAAAATTAATTTATATCTAAAACAAAAGCTCTCTTAGTGCTCTGTGAACTGGCTTTTGCAGAATTAAAATATCTCTATTACTTACCAAAATATCCGGTCTGGGAGTTTTTATTGGTACACCCTGTATGTATGTATCTACAATAGTTATACCGTACTTATTTTTTCGTGTTAATAAAATGACAGCAGGGCAACAGCCAATCATCGTCGACGACTAGAATTAGAAGATATGGTGGTGGGATATTAGCCAAACCGAATGTGAGGCACAAAGCTAGAGAGCGATAGCAGGGATATAGTTGCCACATGTTCGCTGTAAAAGCACTACTATGCCTAATACAAAATAATAAGTAGTGTATCAAGTAAGTATTGAATTATTAACATATTTATAACTATCACTTTCATGAACTACAGAGTAATTTATTAAATATAATTATAGTTGTTCTATTGAATGACATGTTTCGGATATTATTTTTTATTGTTTATGTGGTAAAATATATACTTATAAAAGAAAATGAAATATTACTAGATGGTATGTTACGATCAGATTTTGCAATTT